CCCAGCACAAAAGTCCACCTGCCACGCTCCGTCTCAGTGCCCGGCTCCGAAACGGGACAAGAGGAAAGGCCCTTGTGAACGGTGCAGGATATGCAGATGCTGCATCACAGCACCTAAGACAGGCAAAGGGGGCGAGGACATCAGCTGCCCGGTTGAGAAGCATTAACTCCACAAGTGCCCCAACACCTTCCTTCCCTGAACTGAAAACACCAACAATTCACAGGAAGAGGATTGTTGGAGGAAGACGGGGAGAAAATCCACCTGTTCCCAAATGGAGAAGACTCTTTGAGAGCATTCCCATCATTCCTTCTTGAAATTCCCCATTTATCGCCTTACTGCAAAAAGGAAAGTAGTAGATCACTGCCAACAAGCTGACAAGGAGATTGGGGCCTTATAAGATGAAGTAAAAAAGTAAAGGTTCCCTTGCTCGAAAGCCAGTCGAGTCCGACTCTAGGGTTGCGGTGCTCATCTCCGTTTCAAAGCCGAAGAGCCAGCGCTGTCTGAAGATGTTTTCCGTGGTCACGTGGCTGGCATGACTAAACACCAAGGCGCACAGAACGCTGTGACCTTCCCACCGGAGTGGTACCTATTTATCTACTTGCAATTTCTTGCTTTCAAACTGCTAGGTTGGCAGGAGCTGGAACTAGAGACGGGAGCTCACTCCGTCATGCAGCACCCGGGTCTCAAACTGCTGAACTACCAACCTTCAGCGTCTTAACCACTTGAGCCACCACAGCTCCATATGATGAAGTACATCTTCACAAGAGAGGAAGCTAACCTACTTCACAGTTCTCGAAAAGAGCTCTCTCAGCCCCACCTACCTCACAGGGTGTCTGTTGTGGGGAAGGGGAGGGAAAGGAGTTTGGAAGCCGCTCTGAGACTCCCTTGGGTAGTGAAGGGTGGGGTATAAATCCAATCTCCTCTTCTTCTTCAACATGTCCTTTTTTTGCTACATTATGGCATTAAATGCCACACGATGTGGGGATGGGACGCTGGTTCAGAAGGCCTCCGAAAACATTTGTGAAAGAGGAGCAGCCCATCGACGGCCATTCATCACGAGACCTTAACGGCAGCCGTCCTCCATATGAACCCGCTCACTCCAGTCCAGTGTGAAGTCGTGGTTAAGGGTGTCAAAGTGGCTTCTGGGAGGCCTGGCTTCGATTCCCCACATGTGCCATGGAAGCTCGCTGGGTGACCCAGAGCCAGTTTGGTGTCGTGGTTAGGTGCGCGGACTCTAATCTGGGAGAACAGGGTGTGATTCCCCACTCCTCCACTCGCAGCTGCTGGATGACCTTGGGCAAGCCACAGTTCTCTCAGAGCTGTCCTTGAAAGAGCAGTTTCTCTCAGAGCTCTCTCAGCCCCGCCTGT